GTGAGGATTTTTACAACGCCACAACTACTAGATCGGAAAATGGTCGGTACGTCGTACGACTACCACTAAAGCCAGAATTTCCCCRCACACTCGCCTTAGGTCATTCCCGCACCTCTGCTATCCAACAGTTTTTAAGTATGAAAAAAAAAACCTACTTAAAAAAGGCGAGCTGAAACCAGAATATGATAGGGTCGTAGAAGAATGCTTCCATTTAGACCATATGGAGGAAGTCAGCGCTGGCGAAAAAATCATACAAAATAAATACTACTCGTTTTATTTGCCACATCAGGCAGTAGTAAAACCAGAAAAAAAACCACAGAGGTGAGAGTTGTTTTCAATGCGTCAAAATCCACTAGTTCTGGAAATTCCCTAAATGACATTTTATTTACAGGATCCACACTTCAACCAGACCTTATGCTGCTTATCTTAAATTGGCGTATCTTCAAATACGTAGTTAACGGGGAGGTCGAGAAAATGTATAGACAAATAGTCTTACATAAAGACGATCAAGATTTTCAACGAATTATTTTTAGAAAATCCCCACCAGTCCACTACGTGACTTTAAATTAAAAACAGTTACCTTTGGCGGCAAATGTGCTCCATACTTAGCCATTCGTACACTCCACGAACTGGCAGAAGACACAAAGTCAAAATTTCCTCTGGCAACACAAGTGCTAAGAACACAGACGTATGTAGACGATATCCTGTCTGGAAGCCGCGGTCTTCCACTAGCATACGATACCTTGTCACAGGTAATAAATGCCCTCAATACCGCAGGGTTTCCTTTAAAAAAGAKTACAGCCAACCACCCAAATATTTAAAAAAATATTCCTAAAGACCATTTGTTGGATACTAATTTCCTTATATTTGAAAAGGAAACAACAAAAACACTGGGAATACAATGGAATGCGATATCTGACCAGTTTTCATATAATACAGAGTCAATATCCGCATTATCTGCCATCACAAAGAGACAAGTTTTGTTCTCTGCTTTCGCCGATTGTGATAGAAGCGAAAATCCTGATCCAAGAATTATGGCTAGACCGAACCGACTGGGACGAACAAGTGAAGCCTCTTCGCTTAGAAAAATGGTCCCAGTTTCCTAATAAAGACATTTCGCAGATACAAATCCCACGGTGGGTAAACTGTTCCCCTTAACACAAAGTCGAATTACACGGCTTCTGTGACGCCTCTGAGAAGGCATACTGTGCCACTTTATATGTGCGCACACAAAGCAGTAACGTGACAACAAGCCGCTTATTAGTAGCAACGGCTAAGGTGGCTCCTCTAAAAACGTTAAGCCTACCACGACTTGAACTCTCTGGCGCTCTGCTATAAGCCAAGCTAGTTTCCATGGTGCAGACCCACTTGAACATGGCAAAATACAAGTTATATCTATGGTCCGATTCCGAAATAGTTCTAGCCTGGTTGGAAAAACCACCATATGCGTGGAAAACATATATTTCCAACAGATGGTCTCAAATACTTGACCTAGTAGGATCAGCCACTTGGTGACACGTAGCCAGTGCTGACAATCCTGCTGATCTAGGTACAAGAGGATGCAAACCTCTGCATCTCGCCACCACTACCCTCTGGTGGAATGGCCCCCAATGGTTAACAGAATCTCCCGATTCTTGGCCACAATCGTCCATGCGCAACATAATTGCCCCAGAAGGTCGAAAAATCGACACTTATCATACAACCCTGGATGATACTGACATCCTTGAACGATTCTCATCGTTCCCCCGAGCGCTCAGAATAGTCGCCTATATGCTCAGATTCATAGAGCGACTCAAGCACAAAGCCAATCCACAATGCGATACTTTGACGCACCAAGACCTGCAAAAAGCAAAAATCACCCTTATCGCATTAACTGAAACGCGCTACTTCAGCCGCGACATCTCATTATTAAGAGAATCAAAACCCATTAATAAAAGGAGTTCAATCTTGGTTCTTAACCCATTCTTGGACACGAAAGGTCTGCTTCGTGCGAATGGGAGGCTTGCTAACTCAAGCCTGACGTACAACGAACGCTACCCTCTAATTATAGCAGAGAAATCCCAACTTGCCACATTACTCCTCAATTACATCCACTTACTCATGACGGACAAAAAATATATAGGGTAACGGGCAGAGTTCCACAAGGGTCCGTGCTTGGCCCATTGTTGTGGAACGTGTTGTACGACGGGGTGCTGCGTCTCCCTCTCCCGAAGCAGGTATAGATAATTGGATTTGCGGATGATATTGCCATAACAGTAGTAGCAAAAGAACTGAGACAACTGGACTATCTCTGCAATCAAGCGGCGTTAATGATTAAAGAGTGGCTCACGGCAACAAAACTTCAACTCGCTGGGCAAAAAACTGAAGCTGTCCTGATCACAAGCAGGAAAAAGCTYGAAGACATTAAATAAATATTGACGGCTACAGTATAATGACCCAGAAGGCGCTAAAGTACCTAGGAGTGCTTATTGACAATAGACTTAGCTACAAG